CTTTTCCTCCCTCCCTTCGGAAAGAGAGGGATAGAGAAGGAGAGGAAGAAATGTGAATTAAAAGGGGTAAGGGGATGTTCAGGTTTTTAGTGTTAGTGGGGACTGGGGAGAGACTTTTCATTTTTTACAGTAAAAAAAAGGTAAGTGGAATGTCGTATTTTATTAAGGGTGGATGAGGATGGCTTGTGCTCTTTCTTTAATTAAAATAAAAATTGATTTAACTTTTTTTGTTAATTAAAGTTAAAATAAATAATATATTTACGTATTTTAGTAACTTTATGACAAAAAAATTCAGTATTGTAATGAATATGTGATAGTTACAATTATCATAGATGTGTCGGCGTCTCAAATTCAAATATCTTGTACTAATGATACCTAATCTATCTGAAGAGAAATGAAGACAATAATTCAATCTTTTATTTAGTTCATTTTTCAACCATCCAACCAAATCACATGCCACATGATACTCTCTATTATCTCTAATTGATTGATACCTTTTTCATTTAAATTCCAATATATATTTTTCACTAAAAATATCATTCTTATGATCAATACAAAGGTATCCAATTCTATATCTTTTGAAATATTTTTTTTACCATTTGGCGGACAATGGCACGATTACGTGTCATATTCAAGTACAACACTGCTATAAAACTATGCTAACATTGTACAAGTTTTGTAACACTTGCATTACAAACTTGATATGATCACGATGTAGTTTTGAATTACCATAATACGCGATGTAGTTATACTTGACTTTGAACATCACTAGTGGGCGTAAAAAAATGTTGCATGACGGGTCGAGTGAGTTACAACAATGTCAAATATTGATTTATTTATGCTTAGGCCAACCATTGAGAATCATAATTTAATGTACAACATAGTAATTAATTATAGGCTAGGTATTGAGAATCATAGATTAGGAATAACATAGTAAATTTGAGCGATTAGGTTATGAAAAATTAACATGATTCTCATGTCAAGAATTTACAAAACTTGACGATTGTCAAAGATGGAAGATTAAAAAATTAAACTGTCATTGAATAAATAAACTAAATATTGGACTTCTTTATTGGGACTTCATTGAATTTACAAAATATTGGACTTCATTGAATTTACAAAATTAACATGATTCCCATGTCAATAATCTTATACTACTTAGTTGGGTTTAGATAGCATGACTGCTCATAAATGGGTTGGAAAAATGACACCCCTATTAATTATAGACTTTTAGGATAATTAATTTGTGTTGCATTTAATAATCTGCCTGGATAAAAAAACCATATTAATTACTTTCCTTTTTCCTATGCAATAGTAGTTGTACCAGTGCAATGGTATCAGTGTACATGTGTAATGGTAGTTGTATTAGTGCAATGGTAGTTAAAAAAAAAGAATGTAATCAATATGAGTTTAGTGTACAGATGCAATGATAGTTGTATCCGTGTAATGGTAGTTCAATAAAAAGAATGTAATTAATATGAGTTTTAATTCTCAAAGATTATTAAATGCAACACGAATTTAATACAACAAATACCTATAATTAATAGGAGGTTAGCAAGCTAACTGATCCCTACTTAGTTACATATAGAACTAAGTATTATTGGTTGGTCTTAGTCAACGGAGCCAATTCATGCCAAAATAAGTCATTTGCATCACCTTAGCTACTGGATTAACCTAAAAATTAAGTATAACAGACTATTGAAATTAAGAAGTGAACTCAAACCTCTAATTCAAGACGACATCTCCACCAACAAGTAAGAACACATTTTATGATATTTAATGTATACATCATTTTATCATCCTTTTTTTATTTTATGTAACACCTGGTCTCTAATCCCCAAGATTGACACCTAAATTATCAGAGCTGAGCTCTGCCCTAGCCTCCTCAAATTCGTTTACCACCATTTCCAGTCCAGTCTTCGACCATCCACTCGCCACCACCTATCCTTTTGCATTCGTCGACCTCCTCTTGCTTGTTTGCTCTTTTTCTCTGATTCCGCGTCTTCGCTTTTCATTAGTCACAAACAACTCAAACAACAACCAGTAGGCAACAGTTTCGACGTTGTTGCCTACTGCTCGCCTACTGGAATGCTCATTGTTTGTGAAACCGTATTGAAGGTCATATAGGACAATGTTAGTTAGCGGTACAATCATGATTTCACTAATAATGTATCGATTTAATAATATTATTAAAATAATATATTCAACTTAATATCGACTTATATCCTAATATGATATCACTAAGATTGTTAACTTAACCGCATAAAATTGGTCAACACATACTCATCATATTATTTATTCATCTTACTCTGAAATATACGATCTTACCCTATCGGTAGATAAAATAAGATTAATTATCAAACCCAAATTTGGTTAGGCCTAAGGCAACGCGGACTCCAAATAAGCCCAAACAAAAAGAATCCCAGAATTGATGATGATGTATAGGAAGAAGCTGCTCAAACGCCAGAACCCAAACGGTGCTTTCAACTTCATCTCCCCGCTTTCACTTAATCACCTCGTAAACTTCCCCCACCAACGGCCGGCTTAACTCGCCATCAACAATCAACATCATCGTGTGAAACATCGCTATCAATGGCACCTATGTCAGCCTCCCCATCACCATATCATCGAGACCCTCGGAGGATAGTAGAATCTTCAACAATTGTCAATATCAACTAGGGCTCATTCTTTAAGTAAAAAAAAAAACTAGGACTCATTCACATGAAAAAGACTATAAAGTATAAACAAACCTCTATTGCAGCACCAGCCCTATTTTAGGGACAGGTTATGGTGGATACTTAGTGTTAGTAATCACCGTGGATAAGAAGGGTATTTTGCTTCCATCCTAATTCAAACTACCATTTTAATTACGCAATTAATTAGAGAGAGATAATTATGGTAACTAATTATTAGGAAGTTTAATCATTGTAGGGCTTTGTCAGTCCCCGATTTCCGGCCGGAAAAGATTTCTGCCTTGTACACGTTATCAGAGGGGAGAAATGGCGATCGTCAACGTCGCACCATCGCCGGATGTGGTAGAGGGTAGAAGGCTCGCAAGTCGCAATGGAGGTGTTGTTCGGAGAAAGTCCTATTTTTGGTGGCGAGGAAGAGGATACGGCGATGCAAAGCGACGGAGGTAAGAATCTAACCCATTCATGATTGTATGTTTTCGCTTGAACGGCAAAATATTAACATCACTTTTGGTCGGAAAACCCTTGCAAAGGGTCATATATAGTCGGTGATCAAATGGACGAAGGTGGCGCTTCTGACAATTCTGACGAAGGTGACGGTTTCCATGTTCATGTTGAGGGTGTGGATTGGATTCGTACTGTTACGTACTTGTTTCGGCGTAATGGTAGTCCTTATATTGGTATATGTTGGATTGTTATTGGTAGTTCGTTCCGCATTGGTATTTGTTTGATTGGATTGGTATTGGTTCTGACTTTAGTATGAGCTACTGCAATGGTAGTGATTTTTTGTTATATTTGCATCAAATGGTAGTTATTTGTTAGTGGTAGTATGAGCTATTGCAATGGTAGTGATCCATATGAATCGACATGGTCTCACCATTGAAATGGTCAACCAACCAGATAAGCAGCTCGCTGTCAAACCTTTTCATCTTCAAATGAAATACAAAATCCAATCCGAGTTTCTTTATTAGTTCTATCATTGCATTTGTTATACAATTCTCGACAATTGATATAATTGATGCAGGGCTGCACTTCTTCCCAGGTGCTTAAGATTTACCCATATCCTTCTACGGAATAGCTTCATCAACGGCAGAGGTTTGCCCACTTCCACCTTGAACCTGATGACTGATGTGGTAACAGGTTCCTTGTGTTTTGAGGCTTTAGGAACAGGGTTCTTTCTCTTTGAGCCCCTAGGATTGGGGTTCTTGGTTGTTGCCATTCCTAAAATCGAAAAATGGAAGGTAGTAACATTAACCGAGCATCACTACCGTTGCATGGATAAAAAAAACTACCATTCCAAATGAAGACGACCAATCCACATCAAACACCAGATTCACATGTATACAGAAGACGACCATTCCAACATAACACTATCATTCCACATCAAACAACACAGATTCACAGGTAGGTGGAAAATACCATTGCATGAAAGGAACCCAACATTCAACAACCTAAAAGCTACCATTCTAATAGAACACTACCATTCCACACCAAACATAAGAGATTCACAAGTATGCAGATCACTACCAATGAACTAAAGGAACCTACCAATCCGAACAACCTAAAAGCTAAATCACTACCAATTAAGATACAAAAACAAAAAGAATACCATTCCAAACAAAACCAAATCCACAATACGTTTAAATTTGAAGATTAGGGTTCTGGCTGGAGACCAACTTCTGAACAGTAGCTCACAGACGGAGGAGCTAAAATGGGAAACGAAACGGGTACGCCGGAGGAGCTAAAATGAACGTCGCTGGTGCTCCGTCGGAGTGGAACAAACATGAACTGTAAATAGCGCAGGGCGCCGCCGAAAACGCTCGTTTACCCACCAACTGATAAAGAACCAGCCGCCGAGAACCCTCGCCATAAAAGAATGACTGCGGCGACGGTCCAAAAGAGGCTTCTGTTTGCGCGGGGGAGAGATGATAAACGACGGAAGCAAGCCTACGGCGCTGGAGAGAGACCACGACGCCAAAGAGAGAATGCGGTGGCGGAGAGAGAATGCGACGCCGGGAATAGCAAAGAGTTGCCGCTAAAGAAGCTTCTGCTCTCTGCAAAAGGGAAAAGGGTTTTGGGAGAGGCGTTGATAAGGATAGAGAAATAATAAAGAAGGGAAGCGTGGGGCAGGAAAATCTCGCTCTGATTTCAGGCCAGTAAGGACGGAGAGTAATCGTGTGGGTCCCTTCCGAAAACACCCTTCAGCAAAGTAGACCCTTAGATTGAATTTACATAATCTGTATGGCCAAAAAGGAGGTAGCCATTGTGGTTACTTAAAAAAAGAAACCAGGCTAACGCATTCCCCTATTTTATCATTCGCATACTAAGAGGGAAGAGTTAAAGTTCTAAATATTGGACTGGTAAAATATGAAAATATAATAACCCCAGAGGTTTTTAAAAAAATCCTGGTAGCTAGTTCTCCAAGCAAACATCCAAGCAAACAAGAATCCATGGCTAAAAGAACACTGCCAATACAACCCACCTAACATAATAGTAATAGTAGCGGTAGAATTAAGGCAGTCTCCGGAGCCAACTTAAAAACAATAGCAAGCTACAAAATTCTCTAGATAGTACAGCAGCAGCCAATGGCCATCAGCAGCTGCGGCAACAGCAGCAGCAGCAGCATCCTATTCTCTGTCATGTCGTTGCTCATGACCCTAGTTTCATATCTCTTCACCTCTTCCGCGGAGCCTCAGGTTATGGACTCGTTCTTCTAATTGAATCGTTGTAAGAAAGAGAGACCCAAGTTTGGTGCTATGAAGCCCCAGAAGCAGCAGCTGCAGCATACATGCCTCCATCCTGATTGGGTTGTGCAGTGTTGTGTCCATACCCACCACCACCACCATAGCCTTGCCCTCCATAATACCCTCCGCCGCCGCCACTGTTCCAGTGATTCCCATGATCCCCTCTCCACTGCAAAAAGTCATAACATGTAAAAATCACCATAAACAAGGAGCTTCCAACAGGACACATAGTTAAAATGAATGTTAAGCACTCAGGACTCCATGGAACAAAAGACTACAGAATGTAAGTACATTTCTACAGTAGAGTTGCGTCAATGAATAACTGAAGATAATTACTATTCCCAACTCAACGTCCTGAGTCAAGTTTTCGCTGTCATGACTACTGGGGGTTTAAGTTGCAGGAGCTAGTTTTGTTTGTCAGTTGTACTGACGCTGGATAAAGTTAGTTTGTTTCGCTGAAAAATAAATTACTTCTGAAAAGTGAACTTGAGAGCTAAAATCAAACATATTTTAAATCGATTTTTTAAAACAGCCGTTCACCGTAAATCCCGCAATATTTATATCTAAAATCTCGCCCAACTAATAAATATTTTTATTCAACTGTCTCTTTGAAATATATATTGATTATTAAGTTATAGTCATTTCATAATACCTAAACACTTATCTAAGTAGGGTTATAGATATAATATGCCCCTTTACTATGTCGTTTTATCAAACATGCATCTCTATTATTTTTTGCATCAAACATGCCCTTTTGAAAAAAACTATCAAACATGTCCTATTAAAATTTCTATTGAAAAAATTGTCAATCATGATAGAACCGAAATTTAAACGACCCGACATGCCGAATGGGAGAAAAATATCTGTTTTATCCCCTATTTTATTTTTCTGAGTCTTGTCAAAGTGACATTATTAGAATTATTTTGCTATACAAAATCACCAAAAAATTTCTATAGTGAAATTATTAGGGATATTTTAGACAAATGTGTTGCGCAACCCAAAGTTCGGCCATGGTTAACAGTTTTTGGATGACTATTTTAACAGAAGGCATATTTGATACTTTTTCAAAGTACAGGAGCATGTTTGATGTAAAAAATAATAGAGGGGCATGTTGTAACTATAACCCTATCGATTATTACAAAAAATTATCTACCATCCCATCGGTTATCTTCTACCTTTTTTCTTCAATTGAAAATCGTACAATCACAGTAGATTGGAAAATCTTGGCACTTGAGGTTTCTAAGGTCTCTATCAGATAAATAGAAAAGAAGAAGCTACATATAAAAAAGGGTTAATAGCATTTTGTACCCCTCTACTTTTGCCAATTAACAAACGTACCCCTCTACTAATTTTTTGCACAAACGTACCCCTCTAGTATTAAAACGTAACGAACATACCCTTCCGTCTAATTTTCTGTTAAAGGACCGTTTAATGAGCTGTAAAAAGACTCATTTACCCCTCATTAACACCTATTTTTGATTTGATTATTTTAATTCTTAACCAAATTAATTAAAAAGATTAGAACTAACAAACTCATATTTCTCTACGAGAGGCCGACGTTCCGTCTTCCTCAAGGCTCCCATCAAATCCTGCACTTTGTAAACGACGACGGGAGCAGGTTTGGCGGTTTCTACACGGCTCTTCTCCACACAACGGTGGTGCTCGATCTCCGACGAACAACAGTTGGTGAGGCGGCCCTCTTCTCCCAGCAGTTGTTGACGCGATTTTCTTCTCCCCGCGAACAGCAATTGTGACGCGATCCTCTTCTCCCTTCCTCTGTCCCTCCAGCATCCGGCTTTAGAGACTCCGCCAACTCGGCTGCTAGCTACCTACCCATTCACTCTATTGTGTTGCAATTATGTAAGCTACTGTCTCCTTAAACCAAACTTAATTGATTTTGTGGTTACGTTGGATTTTGTTCTAAGAGGAAAAGGTATCTTAGCATGAGCTTGTTCATTTGATTTTTGGCAGCAATCATGACTACCGAAGGTGAAAATAATAATGCAGCTGCTGCAATTGACAGTGCGCATATTGAAACTGAAGATTTGGGTGAAGCGCACGGAGGAAGAGGCGAGAGGGCATAGGATGTGCGAGGCTCCCCACTCGCGGCTCAACCTACTGGTTTCCAAGAGGGACATCGCTGGAGGAGAAGAGGCTCCCGGAGGACGCTAATTCAAGAGGTTTGTGTATCTTCGTGCGGGGAAGATACTAATTCGCCCCGCCGAAGCTGGAGTTTGCTGACGACAACGATGGCTGGAGTTAGCGGACGACATCAATGGCCGGATTTGACGGGCGGCGTCGATTGCCGGCGTTGATGGCCTGCTTTCTTCGTACAGGGGAGTAAAGGGGAAGAAGGAAGGTATTGTCAGGATAGAAGGTTTGGCAGCGTCGAGTGCTTTTTATTTTTTGGCACATAAATTAATTTTTTTAGTGCAAGTACATAAAATATTTAAAATGGAAATTAGTAGCTTTTAAGAGTTAATGAGGGGTAATTGGGTCTTTTTACAGTCGATTAAACGGTCATTTAACAGAAAATTAGACGGAAGGGTATGTTCGTTACATTTTAATGCTAGAGGGGTACGTTTGTGCAAAAAATTAGTAGAAGGGTACATTTGTTAATTTGTAAAAGTAGAAGGGTACAAAATGCTATTAACCCTATAAAAAATTAAGGAATAAAGATTAAATGCCTGGATTGCCAACTGCATCCCGCAAAATTTACCTGCTTGTTTGCAGGACTACGGCCCCATGAAAGGCGAACAGACTGTTTGCCAATCACAGTGTCATTCAAACTCTGTAGGGCTTCCTCGGCATCTTTTCTGCAACACCAAAGATAAACAGATAAACTCATAAGATCTATAGTCCTGAACCACTGCAGAATAACATAAAGACAGCTACAACAAACATATACTGATATAATGATATAATCAATGTCAAATATCATGACCAGGTACCTGTTGGCAAACTGGACAAAACCACAGCCTTTCCCAACAGGTATTTTCACAGACACAACATCACCAAACTGACTGAATGGCTGCCTTAGATCCTCCTCACTAACATCAGAGTCAATTCCTCCCACGAATATCTGAAAATATTACAGAAATGAGAGGTCCATCTTATTCCAAGCCGCCACTAATGCATACCATGATAGCCATACTCACAGTTGTGTTGTTCTCGCCGCCATCAGCATTGGAACCTTGGGCTGAATTGCCATTTGATGCATGTCCACCACCACCAGCCAAAACCAAAGCTAGTAAGAATAATATTAAGCAAAAATTAAAAAATCAATCTTTAAAGCACATTATACAGACTACAACTGTGTTTAAACAATAGCCTCGCCAAGTTATCCAAAATGGATCCAAGTAGGGATATCCAAATGGTGAGACTGGATTAAATTCAAGAAGACAATGCTCAGAGAGCATCCAAGGTGTAACAAGCTTGAAATTGGAATGAGAAAATAGATCCATGAGTTACTAATCGGTTGCAAAACAGCTAACTAAACAAGACCATTCCGTAATTTCCTTGTAGTTTAATTGTCCAAAAACTAAGAGCTCAAAATTAAAACAGGCTTCGAGTTTGAAAGCTCACTTCTGCAACATAATGATGTTCGAAACAGTCTGTACAAGTAACTTAAGCAACACAGTGCCACACCTAAGACATCATGATATCTAGTCAGATTTGAAAGTACATTGCACTGCTCTTGTCTTAAAAGAATAAATCAAATATTGTAGTTGATTTGCTACCTTTAACTCAAAATCAAGAAACCAAATAAAAATGTCGGAATGCTCAATGCCCAAGCTGGCAAACATAATAAAGAAAGAACAAAGATGGCCAGCCAAAATACAGAGAGAATACATTTTCTAAGTATCATACAGCAAAAACAGACAGTGAGGACACACGCACCTTGAGAAGAATATTGTTGTTGATACGGAGAAGACTTTTTGGGAGTGGCGACACCTATTCTCATGGGCCTAGATGAACAGTAAACACCATTCATCTCCACCATAGCTCTAGACCTCTCGCTGTCATCGCCAAACCTAACAAAACCATAACCTTTCGACCGGCCAGTATTGGAATCAATAACTACTTTGGCTCCTTTAACAGATGGATATTTGCCAGAAAATGTCTCCTGCAACATAGAATCAGTGACATCCGCAGCCAAATCTCCAACAAATATAGACAGATCAGAATTCGGTTCTGCTCGTCTTTCGCCAGCAAAGCTTGCCCAGTTAAGACGGAACGGTTGATCTGAATTTGGCATTACAAATCCATTGTAGTTCTGCAGAACTTTCTCTGCCGTCGCATGTGAATAGAACTCAACAAAACCATATCCTTCTGATTGATGGGTTTGCTTATTCCTTATAACCTTAACAGATGCAACCTGTTGAATACAATCACATCGAAACAAAAGAAAAGTGCATTAACCAGGAGCAACCCAGGTAATATTCTACAGGTTAAAGTTAAAACATGAATGCCCCCAGGCAAATACATCTGATGGAGAGCATCAAGTAAACCAAAATATGTCAAGGAATGCATAATAAGAAGACAAAAAGATATACAAAGAATCCCAACCATACAATTTGATGCACTAGAATTTAACATAGCATGACAATCATATTGTTGAACTGAAAGCCGGCAATTGTAAGTATCATTAGCTGTTAATTAAAAGCATTTAACTTAACTTTCACCGTTCTCAAACCTACTCTGCGGTTAAAACAAAGAATCAACAATATTTCTCTTCTATGATATCATGAGCTTAGTACAGTTAATTGTAGAAAACAAGAGATGGATTTTCCCCTGCTTATGGACCACAGTAAGCAAAAGTAGCAATCCACATTTATTACTGGAATTGGCAGTAACATTTTAAGCCTGCAATTGGGTTGCAAATTTAACTGCTTGTCCATTAACAACAACAACAATGTTTAAGGCAGACACTTCACCCTTCAACCCGCCAAAAGGAGCCAAACCATTTATAGTCATCCCCAAAAGATTCGACGGGCAAACCAAATCGCTTTTATTACCCAAAATTAATCGGAATGGAAACAATAAAAGCAATCAATCTCATTAAACAAACACAACGATTGCATCAAAAAAAAATCTACAAGCCGCAAAAAGATCCAGATTTCAACAGTCATCTTACAAATAAAAGGAAAGAAACTGGGTATACCTCGCCGGTGGGAGAAAAACAATTTTGAAGATAAATCTCGTCCATCCAAACAAGCAAGTCGCCGACCCAGACAGTCTTGGCGTCCTCCGGCGCCTGGATCTGATTCTGCTGCTTGTTATATTGCTGGTGCTTCTGGTACATGGGCTGTTGCTGCTGCTGCTGCTGTTTCTGGTACTGCTGTTGCTGCTGATAGTAAGCCATGTAAGCCTGGTGATGCGGGTGGTGCTGCGGCGGGTACATCATCATCATCTGCTGCTGCATCATCGCCATGGCCGCCGCCGGGTACTGCATCGCCGTCATCCATTGCTGCTGTTGCTGCTGCTGCGGCGGCCCCCACTGCTGCGGCTGATACGGCTGCGCCCCCTGGTGATTGCTGCTGCTATTGCTCGTCGCCGGCGGAGGGGTGGGAGATGGGTTCAGATCGGCTCCGCCGTTGGATTGCTGCTGCATCTTGATCCGATCGAAATAGAGAAATTCGAAACGAAAGAAACTAACGGACCACACCCCCTTGTAAAAGAAGATGAAGAATCCCCTTTTGGGTTGATGGTGGTGGCGAGTGGCTACGGAGTGCCGAAAGAGGAAGACAGAGGAAGGGCAGGGGAAGGAGTTATAAAGGGAGGCGGCTCGTTCTTGCTTCGTGTTGTTGGATTGGATGAGTTTCGTTTCGTTTCGTTATTTGGGTGTGTGTTAGGGTAGGGGTTTTAGGAGGCGTCGCCTGGGTTGGGTCCCACCACTCCTTCCGCTTTAGGGTTGAATTTGGTGGTTGATGAACTTTTTAACGGTGCATCCAAATTTCAGATTTGGTCTACTAGGCGGTAGTCAAAAAAGGAAGAATTTGCCAATTTACATTCTTAGTTAGCACAACGCGGTAAATCATTATTATGGCTCAATTCGTGAGCAAGTTGAGACTTGAACGTGATTAAACCGTTAAAGATATTTTAGAATTAAATACATGGGAAAGATCTAAATGATTTCGTTCATCCTCTTTACCGAGCAATGCACCTGTCTGAGGGATACAAGGTAGGGCTGCCTTGTCTTGATGGTAGACAAGCGTGGCCAACTGCTCAAGGGTATGAAGTCCACCCTCCTAAGGCTAGAGCTATGCCTGGGCGCCTAAAAAAAAGAAAAAAGTCCGCTGGTGAGTTAGAGACGAGACCACAACGTGGAGGAGTGGGAGAGGAAGTCTGTAGGCGAGGTAACTTGATCCGTTGCTCAAATTGTGGAGGTGAAGGCCACAACGCGAGATCTTGTAAAGCACCTTCTGCTGCCCGAGAAGAAAGGGTATAATCCTAACTAACCTTCAGCTGTATTTTTGCTATTAATTCGAGAATACCTTAATGTGCTCATTTTCTATTGTTTTGAAGGTAAACAATTCCTCTCAAAGGGGGAAGAGAGCTGTTGTCCAAGAAGCGGGTGTGGGGTCCAAATGTCCCAAACACTGCTCCAAGTGTGGACGACCAGATCACAATGTGAGGACATGTCCATTGAATAGGGGTCTAGGGATACATGTAAGCTTGCAATTGGACTCTTGTGTGAATGGTTAATTACAGTGCATTTATTTTCGCAATGATGTGAGATGTGAGAATGGTGAATGACTATGGACTATATGGTTTTGATAAGGCCGTGAGATTGAATGTTGAAGATCGAGCTACGATTGATAGGGAAATACGTCGTGCAGCTGCTGGCGTGGGTGTGTATGTCGTCGAGAACATAGGGAACCAATATGTTAGGGTGAGTTGACAAATATTATTGTAAGGCTGAGAATGTTTGTCACGTGCTGCCTCATAACTTATGAATGTTTGTTCTTACATTTACAGATGAATGGTGACCGTGGCCGCCCTCATGGAGATCAACCAACAGTTCCTTTAGCCCAACCTTCTGTGGTGGAATTAATGGAAGCCAGCCACCACCAACTCAGTCTTAGCGGGTCATGAAAGCAACCTTTTTTAGTCATTTTTTGTACAGGCCAGCAACAGAGGTTGTAGGTTGTTAGGTGTTGTTTTGGTCGACTCATGTAATGGCTAGAATAAGCCTTAAGGATTGCTCACTTTCTGTTAGGTATAGTGCAGCTAAGTGATGTGAACAAGTGGTGTGGACAAAGTGATGTGGAAACACCTTATGTTATGATCTATTATGGGTTCAAAAACAGCTTATGTTATGTATCCAAGTGGTGTGAATAGGTTATGCACTTGTTATGTAATGCATGTTATGCACTTCTTTTGTCCACAAATACAAATAGTGAAAAGGTTAAACCAACTTTAGGTTATTCAACTCTTTGATCATTGAATTCCAAAATGTTATACCAAATTCAAGTAGATAAACTTACATACCAATATAAGTTCGACATCGACCTACAAACCCAACTTACATGAACGATAACTTACATGCCACAATCCTTCCTCCACAGAACCACAAACATTCTTGCGAGCACCCCGACTGCCCCTTTGTGACATCGTTAGGGATGGGAGATGCGGATTGACACTGCCGAGGGATGGGAGATGCGGAATCACAGTTGTCCATGGCGTCGAGGGTTCTTCGCCGGATTGACACTGCCGCTACAAGGAAGATGGAAGCCGATTTCGGCTTTTTCTGGGAGGAGGAAGATGAAATCGAAAATAAGATGGAGGAGAAGTCGCTGGGCATATTTAATTGCCCCAAACGATTCTCTCTCCTCCGGATGACGTGGTGCTTTGGTGGCAAATTCAGTCCTGTTGGCACCTACGTGGAGTCCATAATTCGGCCACATCAGCGACGCGAACATGTAATTAACGGCGTCCCTGACGGCGTCACATTTAATAACGGAAATGGCTATTACTGTCAAGTCATTTTCAAATTTTGGCTATTTCTGTGTATTTCTCAGAATCTGGCTATATTTGTCACAAAGTGCAAAGTTATGGCTATGGAAGTGAATTTTGCCGAAAAAGTATATTGGGAAATGTGATAGATTTGTTATTTTATTGGTTATGTGATGGTAAAATAATAGGTAAATATATTTGTATGACTCGAACTTTTCACAAATTAAACATTCTAGCCAATCTTTTCGATCGATAACATCATGGCCTCAACTATGCATCTAAGTTACAAAATTGGCCAAACTCGAGATTTGACCGTTTTCTTTGACGGTCAAACGCCTTGACTAACGGTCAACGCTCCATGTCACTACCAAGTCAGCATAAACCACTTAAAATTTTTGGTTTTTTCCACCTATTACCAATGCGCTTTGTTAAAATAAAAACGAGCGTTTCTTTTTTTTTTCCCTTCTTTTGTTCAAAATAAAAAATATAAATGGTAATAGGTGAAAAAGTAGGGTGGTGAAGGGGAAAACCGAAAAAGGCGCAATTCACAAACTAAAGAGAAAAATGATGTTGTGAGCCCAAAAATCTTCTTACGAGTCAATTCGGTGGGTGTGTGGCACCCGTTTTCCTCACCATATTTGAGTAAATTTAGATCGACTCACGAGTTGACCTTCATTACACTTCATAATAATATTTGTCTTCACCATAATTATCCACTCAGAATTTTCCCTACCTCCCTTAAAAAATAATATTAGTTAATTAATAACTAAGAGCACGTAAACGATTACTCTCCTATTATGTTAACAAATAATAATAATTTATTAGTTAATCACCTATAATAGGTGATCGTAAAATAAAAGTTAATTAATTCATTGTCTAGCATACTAATATTGAATGTAGCAAAAGAAAAAAAAAACGAAACCAAACTAAAAAAGCAGCAAAAACGAAATAATGCAAGTGGTAGTGGAGAACTTTCTCTCCAAATTGGAGGGTTGGGTTCTACTGGAAATTTTCCCTCCTGTTTTCCCTTCCCTTGCACTTTTCCTTCCTTAACACTATGTTTGGCAACAAGGGGTGCAAGTTGAGGGGTAAATTGTTGGGGGGGTGCAACTTTGTGGAGGGTGTAAGTGAAGGGGTAAATTGTTGTTTGGATGAAAAAGTAGGGGTGTGCAAATAAAATAAAAAGTAAGTAATTATATTATTATAAAATAGATTTATCAATTTATAAAATATTATCACAAAAATAAACATGAAAATTTAATATATAATAATAATAAATAAAAATAATTTTAATAAAATAATTATTATATAATAATGCTCAAATATAATTATTTATAACAACAATAATAATCATTGGTCGAGCAACCTCGAAACTCAAAATCCAACTCGCAACTGGTCATCCTAAAGGGGTTCTCGTGCCTAACTTTAAATTGAATATGGTCAAACTTAGTCAAACACGTTCGAATCTGTAAGTTTTAACTACTTATTAAAGTAAATCGAGTTAACTAAACTGTTCCTCTCTATCTTTTCAACAAACGCTTCTTATCTCTAATTTTCAATGCAAACTCGGGTCGACTAAGAGATATCGATTTGACTAGGCCACATTGACAAACTTGCTCTCTGAGTCAAACGGTCAACCCCAAACAACTTCTACACTATATAGATATAAGAAAAAATTAATAATATTAATTATTATGTAATTATAATCTAATTAAAAATTCATAATTCCCCTCCTCCCCCTTCCCCCTCCCTTCCTTCCCTTGCACCCCAATTTGGGGGGTAAGCCGAAACAGTGAATTTACGCCCATGTTTTGCACCCCCCTACTGTTACAAAATAACCAAACGGGGTAAACACCTTGGAACTTGTGTTTACCCCCCAAACTTGCACCCCCTTCCATTTACACCCCCTTCCCAAACATAGTGTAAAAAACAGAGGAAAGTTTATGGAAAACTGTGCTTTCCATCCCACTTTTTCCTCCCGTCCCCTTTGATTTTCAATATTGTAATTTATGTTCCATTAACTAACTAAATTAGGGATTGGAGAGAGTGTGGGTAACTGAATCGCTATTCGTCGATCTAATGTTAAATTTTTTTTTCTCTAAACCATACTACATTGACGTTTATACCGTTATTTTTAATTTCAATTTCCAACCCCTAACTTCCCCCACCAGCCAAATTCCGATCGTCGTCGTAGTTCAGGAAACCTTCTGCATCTCCCATTCCCCAACCCACCATCGTTATTTTTTCCCCAGTCGGCGACCCGCTGCCATTGTAAAGAAGGAGAAAGAATCCCACCAGTTGGATTCGCCCGACGTGCCCATCCCCAGCCAGTCGACCCCCTGCGAATTTCAATCTCCAACAAACACTCTGTCGCAACCGTCCCTCCGGGGTCCGAATGTCGTCGCGTCGGCATTTTGGGAGTCGCCATTGATCTTATTAGAGTGGATCGAACACTCGTCGGTTGGCTCTGACCTTTGGGTCAGAACCGAAACATGGTCTGCGAAATAGAAATCTAGGTTCGGGAGTACGGTTACGTGTGGGGAAGTTGAGCAACACCCCCACAACGCCCTAAATCGGTACTACTTAAGTCGATAAGTTTTTTATACGAGTTGGGTGTATTTTAATAATATTTTGGTAATTTTAGGTCCCACTAGACCATTTAATGATTTTATCGTATTATTTGTGATTTAGTTATACGCCCACTGACGTAAAATCTAAAGATAAGTTAGTTGATTAATTGGACTCGAACCTTATCGGTTGCCTACGTACCCGCAAGACGGGATCAAAGTCCACGTAGTTCGTTAAGACTTTGATAATTTTAAATAAATTATAACCACGTTCCTCTGATCGTGATTCTCGTATCAAATTTACTGTTAATGAAACTTAAGTTGATATTATGAAATTATAAAAGATAATATAGGGATTTCAATTATTAAGAGGAGATTTGGTGTGTTAGAAAAGAAACGGGATAAACTTAATGCGCAATTCTACATTTCGTATTATGGATTTTAAAAACAAATAAAATTAAATGGGATGATTAAATTAGCGAAGGATAGGCCAGCAGCCCAACTGGCTAAAACGCCCGGGTCGTACAACATACCCGATCGCGTGGATGCGGTTTCGAAACCCAGCTGCCACCACCTTTTTGTTTCTCGTTTTATTCCAGAGAAAGGGGAAGGTACTTTTGTAATTAACACGAAAACACGGTGGCAGAGTTATGTAATTTGAGGAAACCCTGAGGGTAATTCAGTCATTTTAATCGATGGGGTATATATAATCTCTAATGAAACCCTAATCAATCTAAAGAGAGGCGGCCGCCCTCTCATTCTCGCCTCTCTCCGATCCTTCCACTTCTCTCTTCCTCTTCCAGAAACAAATCGAACCATAGCCGCCCTATCCTCTCTCTTTCTCCTCTCTTCTTCGAACCAAAACCCCTCTGGGTTTTCACCGCCGCCAGCCTCTTCTTCTTCCTTCCCTCCCAGAGAAAAACCAAAATCAAAACCTAGAACAACTCTCGTCGCCTTTCAACCGCCCCCCCCTCTCTCTTTCCTTCTCTCGGTTAGCCAAGGGACCGCTCGCGTCGAGTTAATCAGCCTAGAAGTTTCCGATATAGGTAAGATCGAGACATGCATGGCCTTTTGATTCGTTTAGGTGATTTTTATTAGGATTCGTTCTAACTTTCTTTCGTTTTCTTGTGACTTTGAGGCTTGGTTTCGACGAGGAAAAGAAGCAGTGAGGAGGTCGCCAGACCGAGGTACGATTTAACGTAGGTCGGATCTGGTTTCGTTTTGGTTTATTCGGTTGTATTTTTGGATTTCTGGGTTCTAATATGTTTTTTTGGTTGGGGCGGAGGAGAAGAAGGGAATCTTTGGCGGCTAAGATCCCTACCGACAAAATTTCGCCGGCGATGAGTTGGACAACGGCGGCGGCAGGTGAGGATTGCTTCGATTAATTTTTTTATTTTCTTGACTGGTATTGGTTCTAATTGATTCTGGTCTCTACGCAGGTTTTGAAATTGACAGGACTGGGTAAGGTTTCTAAACTTAGCTTAGTGTGATTTTGGAACTTGAACAAAAAAGATGGGTTTGAATCTGATTGCAGATCTGGGTTTTCAATAAAAAATGGTTATGTATGAGTTCAATAATTTTGGTGTTTGGTGATCTCGAAATTTTTATGCTTAGTTGCTTGGTGATGGTTTTGGGATGCTAGATTTTTTCTACAAATGAAAAAGAAGAAAAAGGGAATTTTCAATAACTGGGAAGTAATTAACATGCTCTAAAATTGATAATTTTGGCAACTAAAAGTCACTGCCCTCTGCTTGTGACTTTGCCAAAATGAAGTTTGAAATATGAAGTTCAATTTGTGTTTGGGTGATTTCTGCTGGATCTGGATCTAGATCTAGATCGGGGGTGATCGTAATCCTAGGGAAGAGGTTTTTTCTTCTTTCTATAGACCTTTGTCTATTTGAAACTCTACTCGAATATTTTCATTCATTTACACATGATAATAAAGTATTCATCAACTATTTGCTAGATAGGGAATTTACAACGTTGACATGTTATAAAGTAGTCTATCAATTGATGAGAAAAGCAAGTAAAATGCTCAATTGAAAGAAGCTTAATGCCAGAGTTGAGTTGCTAAGCGCAAATCTTGTATTAAGTGAATAGATAGAGTGCTTAAATGTAAAATAGTTTGCAAAGTACGACCATCGAGTATATAAATGGGGCAAGTAGATAGACGATTATGACCGTACAATGATTGAGCATGAATTTGACGAAAACAAAAATGAGATTCAGATCTTATTAAAAGGATGAAAGAGTTGGAGCACTAACCTGGTGGAGTTTCTTAGCTTAAGAAAGGCCTTCCACTGCTTAATTCCACAAATTTCTGCGTCAATCTTGTGTAAAAGACGGATGTAAAGAAAAATGAGCTCAAACTGCTTGTTACTTCTGTAATGTAATTTTCTTTCTTTCCACTCCACTCGTCCCCCAAAATCAGGAGCTGAAGAGCTCTACTTATTGATAATCGTATGCCACGTGTTGCTTCGCCATTAGTCTTTGTTAGGACTTGAAATGCCGTGTTTCTTCCTGATAGGTCGAATTTTGAGGCTGCCCCAATAGCCTCCACCTTGCATGGTCGGTTCTGACTGTTCAGGGCCTGTTCAGGATAGGCTGGCACACAATTCGATGTTGGTTGGGCTGACGAATAAGGTTGGGCCGAGTTGGGCCTTGAATTCGTCTTGGGCGGTACTGGGCTTTGGCCTAGTCTTGAACTTGGGCTCTGTTTTGGGCCGAATTGGGCTCTGTTTTGGGTTGTATTCTGATCGTATTCTTTTTTCATTTTGCAGGTTTGTGATCTGGTTTGGGCTCAAAGTAGGAGGGCAATGACTTCAATATTGTAATTAGTTCTAATTCTCGCTTTATTTAGAGGTCATTACCCAAGTTGTACAATGTATCAACTTTGAATATTGATAATAAAGCTCATTCCACTTCAATTAGTCCCATTTCAAATGCCGAATCCAAATCCAAAATGTACAACAAACTTTGCACTATAGCTATTTCTTCCATTCAATTGAGAAATTATATTTAAGATTTGCCACTGCTAATCTTAACTTAAATCGATTATATCTTAACTAATTATGCCCTAGAATCGACTAGGAGCAAATTTGACAATTGTTGGTTCATATTGACTTGCAACTGCTAGTCTCAACCACACTATCTTCAACTTCTTTTTAAATTAATCGTAGTACGACGTGACAATAATTATTTTCAATAAATCAATTATCCCGGACAAAATGTGGTGTCTACACACTCGTTACCAGAGAAACAAAGCTTCAAACTCGTGTACTCGATACTCTTGTAGTATAATATACTCCAGTTACTTTTAGCGAGATATCCTAGACCATGAATTATACCTTAACCTGATACTATACCATAATCTTTAATGGATAAACCCCAAGTCCCGATTCGCTAAATTCCATCCTGATGTTCAATTTACTAAAATATATTAATTGACCGTTGAGATTTGTCGGAGCTAAAAAAAAGGAGATCTAATGGTCATATTACATGGATTATTGTATACTTCTGGAGTATACCAGTCATTACCTTAAAGTTAGGGCTACAAAAGTAAAATTAGGGGCGACGTTTAGCCATTCAGTTGTTTTAGCATTTAAGTGTTCGAAAGACCAAAAAAACTAAGGCATTAGAGAAATTTTAACATAATTAGAGCGACGAATAGGATTTTTAGGGCGACGAATAGTGAACCCGCTGGTAATTGAGCGGGTTATAGGGTGGATTTTCCTAAACCACTCTCATTCTCGTTTCCAAATACTCAAACTCATACCCACCTCATTCTCTGGGAGAAGTTTTGCAACCCTATTCATATACCCGCGATTTTTGGGTTCCCGTGGGTAATACTCATACTGCATATTCACTATAACTATACATATAATTTAACATGTATACCTTCAATTATAACACTAAAAGGATCTAATAAATCATGAAATCAACAAAGATACAACCATTCTACATACAAATTCAAAGCATTTAATCCTAAAATGTCCATTAATCCTAAGGTAGTAATTTAATAATCTAATGATCAAAATGATACTTTTGTAGGTTTCACTTAGTAATTTTACACACTATATATATATAACAACTAAAACAAACCTTAACGTATCGTAAGCGGTAGCGTCGTTCTCCTCCCTCCCTATCCCCCTCTTTCTCTGTTAGCAAAGAAGGCTAGCTAGCGAGATTCGGCATCACACAGTACGGACAACTCACGAGCTTTCTTCAGTAGCCCGCTCCTCTGCTTCGAGAACATTGCTTTCCCCCCACCATCGATCGATCTCTTCCCACAAAATCAATCAGCTCATCAATCCAAACTCCAAGTTAAAGTAAGATGTTTAACGAAATTACAACAATAGCTAGCTAGCCTCCAGCATTTAGTCAGGTGGCGAAGGAGAGGTTTGCTTGTCAGCCTCTCGGTTATGGGGGAGGCACAGTCAAAGGGAAGAAATGATCAGAAGCTACCCCCACCGCCTTCCCTTCTCCCAACATCTTTCACTATTTATTTATTTGTTTGAATTTTTTAACAGTAGACGACTAGGTTTCCGAAACCGGTAGGAAATTTCGAGCTGGTAGAATGGTTAACCATTTGGCCGCTCGCCGATCACCCTTTCCAGCCATTGCGGTCTTAAGGGTGTCCTAAGGTTGGGAATCCGGTTTCAGTTTTCCAGTCAAACTGAAAACTGGCCAGTTTAAAAGGTCATGGTTGTAACCAGAAACCGGATATGACTAAGGCCGATCCAAATTCCGGTTTATAGTATTTGGAGAAAAATCGTACCAGGTATAACGCGGTTAAAACCGGGAAACTGGGACCAGCCCTGCCTTGCACCCAGCCCAATCCTGAAGCCCAAATTCCCTCTAAAAATCTTAGCCCAACACAACACAAAAGCCCAGATATCCCAAAAAAACGTAATAGTCAAGGCCACCCAATCCCTCTATCCCTCACGATCTCACGTTTCTCATCTCTCTCGCCGCCTCGCGACTCCACTTCTCTACTCTGGAGAACAATAGAACTGTGTTTCCGGATTCCTAAAAAAGTACAAGACTTGTTCACGATGCATCAAGCTTTATGCTCGCGGAGAGGCACCAAAATGTCATTTGTGTTGGCCGATCAGAAGAGCCATCCAGACATGATTTCTTCTTACTAACAAGAAATCATAGGAAACATCTCATTCGACCTTCAAAATAAGGTTTTAGCACCACCTTAGAATCTAATACAACCAAAGGCTTAATTGACATGACGTGACATAGATGACGATGGAAAGAGCCAGGGTTAATAGACCTTACCCTCACGAATTAGAAAACGAAGGTTTCCTCCATCGATGTGTATCCACCTTAAACTTCGAACCAGACTTTATCGGCGAGACAGTGCAGGGGGAAGAAGGGGTGAAAGGCGGGGGAAGGTTGCAGTAAGACGACGAGAAGTGATCGCGGTGGAAGTATGAACGATAGGCGACGGTGGCTGGGAGCTTGTGTCACTTGCCGACATGGAAGGCGTCGTGGCGGCTGACGTGGCTGACCTCATTACAAAAGTAATAACGGTAACAGGGTTTTAATCATCCATTTATGCGCAACCGTAATTATACTAATAATTTGTATTTCGATAGTTATTAGATGTTTTGAACACCTAAATAGTTCTATATAATATACACAAAAAAGTAAGGGCTAATACCACTATTACGCCCGAACTATCGAAAAAATGCCACTTGTGTCCTATTGTATCAAATATTCCATTCATGTCATGAACTATTATATTTTGTGTCATTTGTATCTTGTCAATTTTGTTGACCGATAAAGATAACAGTTGACCAAACGGCGGTCAACTTAACATTGAATTTTGCTTACGTGGCAATGCCAACTCATTGACACCTGACATTTTTAATTTAAATTAAATAAAACTTTGAAAATAAAAAATTGAAAAAACTTTAAATTCAAGAATATTACTAAATAATATTCTATAGCCCCAAAATTAAAAATATATAATATTCTCTACCGATTTGCCTCTCTCGCTCTAAAAAATTTCCCCTTCTGCCTTGCCATCTGCTTAGTCAGGAACGTGTTCGGCGGCAGTCGCACCCCGCCATCAGCATAATCATTCCTATCATCGTCCTCCCCACACGCTGTCGAAAAGGCTTGCTTGAAATATTCGGTGATTTCAGTTTGAATCGATCTCCTCGCCTGCCAGCATCTATGAATCATGCAATCCATGACGAAAGAGCTGGGTTCACTCGTCTACATCCTCGTTGAAGAATTTCATCAACAATCGGATTCATCACCGCCACTGGCCTCGAGAAGCTCCGTGGGATTCCATTCTCGTCAAAGAAAGCGGAGTCGGCGGAATCAGACCAAATGGTCAGCGGAGATTCGATTCATCGACCTGACCAAACAGATTTGAGAAGAGCTTGGAAATTTGAAGAAGGTTGGGAGCTTCTTTAGCTCTCTGTTCGGTCGTCGTCTCCAACTCCAGTGAGGTTGGCGATTGAAATCCCTTTTCGATTTAGGGGTTTGCACCCGGGGAAGAAGGGGAGAGCAAGTGGGGCGAGTGGAGGAATGGGGATTGATGGAGGGGTAGAGGGATTATTTGGCAAAATTGGATCTGGGTAGCGGATGGAATTCAGGAGGAGAGAAGAGGAAGAAGGTGGGAGGAGATATGTAGAGATTTACGAATCTGATTTTGTTTTCGATTTTTGTAATTTTTATTTTCTTTTTTAGTTTATTTCTTTATATAAAAAATAATTAAAAATTAATATTTAAATTCCACGTCAAATGCCACGTAGATGGTGACTGGATTTTCTGTTAAAAACTAACGGTCAACACCGGTCAACACTAACAGAATAATAGTTTATGATACAAATGGAATATTGAAAAGAATAGGACACAAGTGACATTTTGCTCATAGTTCGGGTGTTGTAGTGGTATTAGCCCAAAAAGTCACACAAACAAAATACTGAATCGCTATTCGTCGCCCTAAAAGTTAAATTTTATAGCCCTAAAATGTGATAAATTTACATATTTACCCCTCAACCTAATTTCAAGTCTAACCCTAACCAATAAAACCCTTCACTCACCCCAACCCACATCCGCCGCAGAAACCCAGAACCCCTTGCTCCCGCTACTGCTACTCGACCGTCGCTGTTAAACTGGACACGAAACTCCCCAGTGCCCTCCAAGATACAAAGCCATCCAATGGCCGTTCAGCCAGTGGCGGATCCAGGGGGTGGCCACCTCGGGCCTCGGCCCAGCCTTCCTCTGGATCCGAAGCCAATACAATCCTTATGAGTTTATTGATTTTAGCCATTCGGTCTAGTGTTATTTTATAATAAGATTGTGTGATTGAGAAAATGGGTTAGATGAACATATTCACATCACAACTCTAAATTTAGCGTAGAAATTCTAACTCGAATGATTCCTTTCTAAAGAAAAGCAAACAATGTAAATTCTAAAACGTAAAAGACTAAATGAACTATGAGGTTTGTTCCCTTGAAAAATTACTAGAGCAGTTGGTGAAAATAGGGATGAACACACAATGCAAATTGATTAGTCAATTGATTTGTCTAGTATTGACATTGTCTGTTTCAACAACTATTATGGAGAAAACCTTTTCAACAATGAAACAAGTGAAATATGATTTGCGCAACAAAATGAGCGATGAATTATTCGTTGATTGGTTAACTATTTTATTTGAATGAGAGTAATATGCTATTGGTATGGATGTAAACTCCATTATTGATGAATTCGCTATATTAAAAGATCGATGTGTACAATTGATATTGTAAAATAACCTAGGATTTTTTTATGGTATCTAATTTTTTTAATGAAATTCGGCCTAATGCTTTACTATATCCTGGATCCGCCGCTGCGTTCAGCGTTCATGAGGGACATCTTCTCTCAATTCCAAAAACCCATACGGCTCTCAATCCAATTTACGTCGTGGGTCATTCTCGCGACAGTTAGCAGAAGCTCTGACTGTGAGCCCCAATGAATTTACCTTTCCCAATGCGTTGCGGGCTTGTAATAATGGTGGCATTGATTTTGATTTCGCTAAGCAGATTCATGTACAGATTCTAATCCTATAGCATTGAATTCTCTTATTGATTTGTATGCTAAATTGGGGTTAATTCTCTTCTGCTAAACGGGTTTTTGACAATTTAGATTGGAAAGATAGTGTTTATTGGGTGGCTAGGAATCTAAAGAATATATTATACGTTTTCCATTAAAGACTTCTCTATTTCGAATTTACTCTTCATTCACGCTTCCACGTCAGCATCCTTTTAACCAATCACAACTCATTTTCACTTTAAAAAGTAACTCCTTCCATGCGGAAACCACAAATTTTTCTATTTTTCCTTTTCTATTTTTTATTTTAATGTTTAATATTTATCTTGTGTGGCCGTTTGAAAAAAAAAAACTACCTACAGATAATGACTTGCCCTTTTTTATAGGTTAATCTCTTCTTTATCTTTTTATTTTACATATCAATTTTTTTATACACTTGGCATCTCGAGCTTAGGTGTGTCGACTCAAAATCTAATCTAATATCGTAATACTTAATTTAAACAAAAATACTTTTTTTAAAGAACAAAAAAGCAACTAAATTAGGCATAATGAGTTTTTGAATCCTACTCATCACGAATTAATTATTTGATAATTTTGTCATTAGTTGAAAAAATCGAAAACATTATCAGATACAATCATAAACTTTAATTACAAACTTTGCAAAAGAAGCACATGAACAAAAAAGCCACACAAACCAGCGTCTAAACTAGAGTTTTTTTGGGAATATATGAACATATTAGATTAGTAGCTAAACATAAAATCGAGTAGTACACAAAATGAAACTTTATTGAACATTAAGAGTTAACTACCTTTACAAAGCAACATGAATAAGGATCTTACATCGTGGACCAAATTTATTGATTGCATAAAGAATTTTTTGAGTCGAAATTCTCATTGATATTGTATCAAAGGTTACATGAAATTAGGATGAGTATCATACTAGAAAGTAGAAACACAAATATTAAAAATACCGATAAATTGAATCAACATAAAAATATTTGACTAACTAAATATTGAGTTAAATAATTAATAATAATAGTAATATACCCGGCCAATGGCCGGGCACCAAGCTAGTTTAATTTATAAGTTTGTTTGGGTTTAAATGTTTAAACTACAAATAAATAAATTAAAAATATTAGAATAAAATTAATTAATTAGGACGACGAATAAGAATTTTAAGAACGATCAATAGCGATTCGAACAAAATAACCACCCCACTTGAAAAAGTTACCTTCTACTCCTACCGTGGAAAGAAAATGGTTCTTTAAGACCTTAACGAGCTTCTTCTTCGTCGCTGCGAAACCCGGTCGGTCTACTGTAGTCTGTACTAAAACTCTAAAAGTCTAAAATGCAATCGGGTCGAGTCGATCGATAGCTTAATCCCCCAAACTCCGACCCGATACAACCGCCGGAACCCGAATCTTCCCTACCTCCGACTTCATTTCTCCGTCCAAAGCTTCTTCTTCTCCTCCCCAAATCAACCCTAATCATTTCCCTCCTAAGTCGCCCCAAATTTCCCACTCTGCTAAACCCTAGATAAAACTCGCCATGGACGAATCCTTCCTTCTAATGCTCTCAAACCTCCTCCACCTCCACAACTCCTTAGACCCATCAATCTCCCTTCTCTCTTCCACCCCATCTTCCTCCTCCGTCACCTCGTCTTCCCCTTCCTCCTCCCTCCTATCCACCTCCTCCGCCGCGCCTCTCCTCTTCTTCACCCTCGCCTCCCTCCTCTCCTTCCTCGCCTGCTCCAAACCCAACAAGAACGGCTCCGCCGGCCGCAAATCCGGCAACTCCCCGCGCCTGGCGCCGCCGGCGAACGGCGCGTACACCGTCGCAGCCTTCCAATCTCTCAGCAACGACTGGTCGTCGGCCCCTCTTCGCGATGCGCAGTGGAGGGCTCTCTACGGGCTCTCCTACCCTGTTTTCACTAAAGTCGTCGAGAAGCTGAAGCCCCACATCGCCTCTTCCAACCTCTCCCTCCCCTCCGATTTTGCTGTGTCGATGGTCCTCTTCAGGCTCGCACATGGTTACTCGGCCAAGTCACTTGCTTCCCGGTACAGTCTTGAGCCCTACTTGATTTCGAAAATCACTAACATGGTTACTCGCTTGTTGGCTACTAAGCTTTACGCCGAGTATGTTAAGATCCCGGCTAGTAAGCGCAAGTTGAGTGAGGTTACTCAAGCTTTCGAAGAGATGACTTCACTGCCTAACTTGTGTGGAGCCATTGATGGAACCCCGATCAGGCTCCGTTCTTTCCCGACCAATGAATCAAACCTGTATCAGTGTCAGTATGGGTATCCTTCGGTCCAGCTGCAGGTTGTTTCGGATCACAAGAAGATGTTCTGGGATGTTTGTGTGAAGGCGCCCGGTGCTGTTGATGACGCGACCCATTTTCGGGATAGTTTGTTGTACAACAGGATGGTCTCTGATGATATTGTGTGGGATAAGGTGATCAATGTTCGAGGTCACCATGTGAGGCCCTATGTAGTTGGAGATTGGTGTTACCCTTTGATGGCGTTCCTAATGACGCCCTTTTCGCCCAATGGGTCGGGAACTCCTTCACAGAACCTGTTCGATGGAATGCTGATGAAAGGAAGGTCTGTGGTAGTTGATGCGATTGGACTGTTGAAGAGTAGGTGGAAGATCTTGCAGGATTTGGATGTGGGTCTAAGCCATGCCCCACAAACGATTGTTGCATGCTGTGTGTTGCATAATGTGTGCCAGCAAATGAGAGAGCCGGAGCCTGATGTTTGGAGGGAGCCGGATGAGACTGCCGCTCCTACGAGGGTGCTTGAGAGCGAGAAATCGTTTCATTATTTCGGGGATAGCTTGCGGCAGGCTCTTGCTGATGATTTGCACCACAGGCTTTCTTCAAGGTAGGAATGAGTGCATAGAGCCCTGATTTCCCATGCGGAGCTTAAAGGTGATGTAGGAGCTATAACTTTGTTCAGATGATTGCGGTTCACTTATCCTCTCTATTCTGGCGAGCTACATGTAGATCTCTTCCCGACTAGGCAAACTTTTGTCGAAGGAGCTGTTTTATCAGTCCTGTAATCTAACTTGGGGTGCAGATATTTAACAGGAAATCTGTAGCAATAGTTGCTTGGTAGCACCAAAACAACCAAACCAACTCTGTAATGCTATTTAGGAATGCATTGTTGTTTGAACCTGCATTCTTTTATCTCCTACGACTTGCTTGGAGAGTATTTCTGGTCTCTTTTGGGTTTGAGAATGTGATCAATTAGTGTGCCAGTGACAAATTCAACTACTAAGCAACTTTAGTTTTTCAGGTCGTGTATGTCATATTGTGGTGCGTACCCATCGACTTTTGTTTTCACTTCCAGCTTCTACTGCACCTTTTCTTTTTTATTTTCAGGCCAAGTATGCACTTTTGGTTGAAGATCTGGTTCTTTATCGTACATATGAGCCTACAGACTTCGAGATGAAGGGATGAAGGCCTCTCTGGTTCTTTATCGTACATATGACTTATGAGCCTACGCCCTACAGTCTTCGAGATGAAGGGATGAATGCCCCTGGGTCTAGTACAAACAATTCTCGGTAAATGCTGCGATATTTTGTCACTGACAAAATCGTGTTATGTTTAGTCACTAAAAAAGATAATATCAAATTTGGTCACTCGAATTACTAAAACAGGTCACGTATAGTCACTCTTTCGTCAGCCTCGGTTCAACTCTCCTCACTCGAATTACTTTATTTATTTATTTATTTATTTATTTATTTATTTATGAATGTCACTCGCAATGCAGTCAAAATCGGGTTCTAAAACTTAAAAACTTATGATTTTACGCTTTTAGATCACCAAAATGCTTTCGTTTCCATATAAAATCTTTAGTGTATAAAATCGGATTAAATTGCGCTTTAAAGTTTAAAAGCTTACGCTTTTACGTTTCTAGTTCACCAAAACGCTTTACGCTTCTAGTTCACTAAATGAGTATTCTTTTCATGAAATTAATAAGGTAAATCAGCAACAATATAATACATTTGAGATTAAAAAGATAGGTTATAGGTATAATATGCCCCTCTACTATTTTTTACATCAAACATGCTCCTGTACTTTGAAAAAATTATCAAACATGCTCTTTTGTTAAACTTCTATTGAAAAAATCGTCAATCATGGTTGAACCGAGATTTAGACGACCCGACATCTACAAATGGGAGCGAAAATGTCAGTTTTGTCTCCCGTTTTATTTCTCTGGGTCTATTCAAAGTGAAATTATTTGAATTATTTAGCTATACAAAAGAACCAAAAAAAATTCTAAAGTGAAATTATTAGAGATATTTTAGACATTTGTGTCACCCAAACCAAAGTTCGGTCTTTGTTAACGGATTTTGGATGGAAATTTTAACATAAGGACATGTTTGATAATTTTTTCAAAGTACAGAGGCATGTTCGATGTAAAAAACAATTGAGGGACATGTTTGATAAATCGACATAGTAGAGGGGCATATTTTATTTTTACCTATAGCCCTAAAAAGATACATATCAGGTCTTGGATGCATTCTCGGTTTAAATACATTAATCTAATTTACAAGTTCTCAAATTAATTAGTATTAGAGGGGAATGTGGCTTATTGTTAATATTCTATGTTTATTAACTTATTGTTAAGATGCTATGAGTTGCTCTACTTTAGATATGAATTGTAGGTATTTATTAACTTATCTAAATTATGTGCACTAATATTTTACATACAATATGTCATACTTAATAGATATTTAGCCATTTTACAACATGCGAAAAAAACTTACGCTTTTACGCTTTGATTCTACGCTTTATGATTTTACCCCTTTTCCGATTCTAGGTAGAATCGCGCTTTTTACTACATTGGTCACTCGAATTACTGAAACATGTCATATTTAGTCATTCTGCGTTAGCCTCAGTCCAACTCCATTAACAGAGTTGGATGGAAACTAACGGGAGAGTGACTAAATGTGACATGTTTCAGTAATTCAAGTGACCAAAATTGATATTAATTTTTTCTAATGACTAAACATGACATAATTTATTAATCTCAATAACCATGAAATTTATCCAACAATTCTTGCTTACAAAAACTAGTTATGCAATACAAGCACATAAGTTACACAGGGCATTACAAACGTAAAACATTTGCGGTGCTTGAATCTTGACTATCTATTTCTGTTTCTTTCCTCCTGACGGCAACAATCTACAATGCCTGTGCATAAAGCCAGCTGAGCTCAGTTGCTGAGGAAATAGAGCTTAGGGGGAATTGACCCACTCTTACATGTTATTTGAAAAAAATGACTGAAAATTTTATAATAAAATAAAGAGAAAATACCTGGTGAATGAAAAATAGTGATAATAGAATGAGTATATGAGTCTAACTAGTTGAAATATAAAGTCTAAATAGTTGAAGAAAAGTCAATATAAAATAAATATGAATATATATTGTAGGGCTGCCATTTGGTTTACGACCGAGTGGGGTAGAGGTTCTAGGGTTTAATTATTTAGAGGATATTTTGGGAATCTCACAATTACGTGTGAGTTTAATCCGAAACTCAATTAACGTCCGTAACTTCCTCAATTTATGTCCAAATTTGACACCGCTTAAACTGACAATTAACATTTTTAGTCCTCATTGATATTACGGTGGTACTTGACCCAAGAGTATAATAGTCATTTTGATTTTTGGGAAGAGCGGGGTGTAACACTTTTACTCCCCCTCAAGCTGCAGCGTGGAGATCACAAACACGCAGCTTGGACAACAGAAAGTGGAAACGCTCTGCACCAAGAACTTTAGTAAACATATCTGCAAGCTGGAGAGAGAGCTAATCTTAAGAGGAACGATATCACCAGACTTGACAAGTTCCCGAACAAAGTAACAATCCATCTCGACGTGCTTAGTGCACTCATGGAAGGCGAGATTGGCAACAATGTGAAGTGCTGCCTGATTATCACAGTGAAGAGGCGTGGAACCTTGTTGAGGTGCACCAAGCTCAGCCAAGAGCCATCGTAGCCAGAGAATCTCACTGACAGTGCTTGCCATGGCCCGATACTCGGCTTCGGCAGAAGAACGTGCAACAACCTGTTGCTTCCTGGTATGCCAGGAGGCCAGCACACCACCAAGAGTAATGACATAACCTGTGGTAGAATGATGAGTGGACTGAAAGACACCCCAATCAACATCGCAGTAAGCAACAAGCTCAAGAGAACTAGCCGAAGGAAAGAAGAGACCTTGACCGGGAACGTTCTTTAAATAACGAAGAATACGCTGCGCAACATCCATGTGCTCCTGGCTCGGTGAGTTGACAAACTGACTGAGAATGTTGACCCCATACGTGATAATGATATCAGGTCGTGTAATAGTTAGGTAGAGGAGGCGACCAACAAGGCGATGGTAAGCAGCAGGATCAGTGACTGGCTATGACACAACTCCTAACAATGGCCAAGTGTAACCAATGAAAGGGACTGCAGTATAGTGGCTCAAGCAATAAATATCGAATCCACGGGTCTCTAGAGTTACTATTACTCAGCTTCAGTTCGTTATCTAGCAAAACAGATTAAGATGAAAGAACTAAAAACTACTCTAGCAAACTACAGTTAAAGTTAATCTAATTACAGGTTGGGAACTCACTTAGGTATGATTCCCCCTAGCCACTAGCCAGATTAACGATTGATGATCTCTAACGTGTTTCACTTTCATTCACAATGCGGAGAATCCTTGACTAGACCTTGAGTCTCGACTAAAGGAACAAGGCCCTCTTGAGTCAATTGCCTAGAGGGACGTATCCTTCTCTAGAACAACTGATCAAGGCGTTCTGAACTAGATTCCCTCTATCGAATGAGGTTCTCAATCGATACAAAGCAGTGAATCAACCCTCGACTAAAGCAATCGATCCACTACTATCAATCTATGGTGCTCTATTGACCTAATCAGGTATTCGCTTTCATAGGATCAAAGCAGAATCAATAATCTCGACTAAAGCAGAATTGAATCGTGAAAACATGCATAGATTGAATATGAACTCAAGATTATCAAGTCAGAGTACTCATACAATCATCCAATCAAACAAACATAGCTAGGGTTCCTCAAAACCTAAGTGAAGGGAAGTTACTCCATAGAGAAGAGAGAGACTGCAGTAAGAATCTTCAGATGATCAGTCTTCAAGTCCGGGCTTGATTCCCGAGCTCCAATGGCGAAGAAATCCTCCAAAATAGCTCCAAGAATGTTCCCAAGTCGCTCTCTCTCTCTAGGGTTCGTCCCTTGGGTGTTTGGGATCCAAAACCCAGCTCTCCCTTGCAAAAACGCACAAAACCGGCTTTTATCAGCTGCCCTCGCGATACCCGCTCGAAATACCCGGTCGGGTATTTTGGGTCTCGACCGGGTATAATTGAAGCGCACCGTTTCGTCCTCAGGGAAAATCCCCGGTCTACCACCAAAATCCCCGACCGGGGATTTAAGGCCATCGCCCGGGCCCCCTTCTGCTTCTCACGGGTGCCAAAAACGATAAATACCCGGTCGGGTATTTTGCCATCCGACCGGGTATTTTCCTCCTGCAGCCCCCCTTAGTCCCAACTCGGCTCCTTTCGACCCAGAACTCGTTTCTCCGCCTCGATTCCAACGCCGGGTCCTGAAATATGACATAAACACACAACCTAGCGTGAAATCGGCTTAAAACACGAGATTCCACATCACAAACGGCTTCAGAATAGGGGTGAAAACATGTGCAATTATCGGTCTATCAAACTCCCCCACACTTAACCGTTTGCTTGTCCCCAAGCAAACCAAGTCAGACACTAGGTAAGCTTAAATATTTCAATCAACCAACATTGGGGACAAGTCATAAAGGCACAAAACACGTGAATCGCACTGGTTTTCAAACATCAATACATGCACAAC